TCATTGGGCACTCGGGTCGCTTGTGCCCTAGCTGCTTGCACAGGTAGCACCGAATGGGTTGGGCATACTCCCGTGAATTGAACCGAGGTGGCTGTTGGTACGGGGCAGATGGAGGAGGTGCTGCTGGGCGATGCATTGGAGGCTGGTATAGGTTGGCTGCTGGTGGGGCTGTTGGCCTGTACTCCACTCTGGCGGGAGCCTTGCTGATGAGACTGTCCAGTTTGCGGGCGTCAGTATACTCATCCGCCAGGCGAGCTGCTTCGTGCAGAGTGGAGGGTTTACGGTCCCTTACCCACTCCCTGACCCCTGCTGGCAATTTATCAAAACAATGTTCCAAAAGAAACATCTACAGCACCTCTTCTCCGGACACAGCCTGGCACCCCGCCATCCAGTGGGCGGCTGTGCGATGCACCTTACATGCCCATTCCACGTATGAGTCCCCAGAGGTCTTGACAGTGTCTCGGAACCTCCTCCGGTACGCCTCAGGTGTAACGGCATACCGGGAGAGTAAAGCTTCCCTGACGGCCACATAATCCCCAATCTCCTCATCAGGAATGGCCCGAAAAGCCTCGCTGGCCCGGCCTGATAACTTGCCGGACAATATAGTAACCCAGTCTTCCAGGGGTACCTTGTGCAGGGCACATTGCCGCTCAAAATCAGCAAGGTACCCATCAATCTCTCCTTCTGTTTCACTGAAGGCTTTAAACGCAGTAAATGGTACCTTTTTCCTATCTCCCGGGTTTGCTGTGACTGGGGCTGCTGCAGCACCGCTTTGGCGAAGCAGGTTGGCCTCCACAGCTGCCATGACCCGGTCAATGGTCTCTGTAGTCGGGTTGGGACCATAATGTGCCAGCCTGATTCTTACCGCCCGGTCAAAGCTTGCCTCCTCGGGGGTTCTGTCAGCTGTGCTGGGTCCATTGGTTCCCTCTGCCGCTGGTACTCCATCCATTTCCAGCAATAACGCAATAATATCCCTCTTCCTGAGGTTACTGGCTTGTCCCCCTCTTTGCTCCAATAAATCCTTTAGGGTAGCTCTCCTCAGGTTTTGGTATTGTAATTCCATTTAGTCCTGGTTGTAGTGGTCTCTTTGGGCGTTGAGGATCATCCCGTCGCTTGCCACCAGTTGTTACGGTACCTCCAGTAATAAATGCACAAACCGCCGTTTAGTGAATGCTCCCCGTTCGCAATAATGTGGTCTGGTAGCGTGTATAGTAAAACCATGCGAACCGCCAGCTAGGGAACACTCCAAACTCCCGAACGGTACCTGTACGGCTATTTCCCTTCACGAGCTCCAAATCCACGAACTGCCAATATTAGCCGAACGCCAATATCTTCCAAGCGGCAAATAATTCCAATAAGCAGTCTCTAAGCGCCGGTAATAAAATCCCCCCAATAACGAGACCAAGCTCCGCTTTGAGGGTAAAACACGAACTGATTTACTGTGGGCTACCTGCCCGGTATTTATGCAGGTCTCCCACTTGGTGGACACTCCCCTAGGGGACCAAATGGGAGACTGAAATCACAGAAGGACATGGGGACATTTTGGACATACATCCCCACAATATTCCCAGCATGCATCACAGTTCCCTCCCCTCTGCTCGAGGGATAATTGGGAAGTAACTCAATTATCTCCCCGAGCAGAGGCAATCGCCATTTTAAACACAAGTCACAAAAACACATGAAAATCCATAACTTCATAACTGCCGAACATATTACATTCGTATTGCATATCCCCAGATAGCCTGGATCTGAGTGCACATTATTGGAGAATAGCGCTCAGATCCCATTCGCACAGTTCAATCGCCATGGAGTCAAAGTCTCTTTCAGTTCTTCGGTATGCGATTGACTCCATGGGACGGCTATCTGGGTTAAGTCCATTCGTGTGGTTGAATCTCCCGAACGGCTGGCATTCGTATACTTTTGTCGATTGAGAAGGGGAGGTCGACGGCTTCAGCGGTGTTCGGCTGAAAAAGTGTCCGTTTTCAGATCCATGAAATAATCGTCGAACACCGCTGGTCGTTCGCATGGACAAAATGGCCGCCGCCTCGTGGTCGACATACGAACGACGACCACCCGGCATTCGGTTTTAATTGAGAAGTGTCTGTGGTTAACCGCAACGTTCTAATTGGGATCAATAGGTTAACCAGCAGCACACTTCTCTTCTGGGTGGCCGTCCGTTCGGTAGTTCTGTTCGACAAAACCGACATTCCCTTGAATAAAGCATACGAATGGGGAAATTCATGTAACCGGCAAAACAGGCGAACAAAGCATTTGTAATCCAGACAGATGGGTCTGTCACAAAGAGTCTTCAATGTTTTGTTCAGGTACAAGTGTGGTAGTTTCTGTTTCCACTTGCAGCAGGGAAATTGTCCTTCCAGGGCTTATAATTTGAAGAACGGGGTTAGACTTGCCTATAACTGTAGATTCTTCTTCAGACTGTTGCACCAAGTCTGACTCTTTGATTTCCACTTGAGGATGACAGTCTTCTTTACTTGGTGTCAACTCATTTTTTACAGTTGCGGTTGTAAGAGAGGTGCCAATCCTCGAACCCCCAGAGGCAGAAGGGTTAGAATTGGAATCATCCAACCTCTCCATATCAAAGTCATGAGCTCCCTTTGGGATTATAACTTCCTCTTCCACTGATTGCTCTGAAGCTTCCACCTTATGTTTCTCAGCCTTCTCAGACAGTGTTTTTGAAGAAGTATGTTGTTTACCATGTTTCCTACGTGGTGGCCTTTTGACAGGAGGATCATCTTCTACGAGATTAGCTTCTAACTTCAGTGGCCCACCCTTCTCGTCAATTCCATTGCCCGAAGCAACTTTTATAGGTGACACTCCCAGTTTCGAGTCTCCAGTATTAGATGACTCAGGAAGAGGTGTAGAAATTGGAACTTCTGTTTCTATTGATTCAGTATTGTCCCTTGGAGCATTAACTGCATTGTCCTTTGCGGGACTGATCTCCAGATCAGATCCAGTTACCTGGTCAGTTACCTGGTCAAGGTTACTGGTGGTCTCCTCAATTGTCACTGTGATGGAGGAATTAGTTTCTCTGGTTGTTGTCTCAGGTGAGTCTGTTTCTGCTTCGTGGCTGGGCAGACTTTGCTTGAGACACTTTCTGACCAGACTAGTACCCTCCTGAACGGTGTTGAGATTGCTCATCTTGGTAGTCGGTATTCTCACTCACTGGGAATAGGCGAGTGGATCTTGCAGAAAAGAGACGGTGGCATAAGGGCACTGTGGGTCTCTGGTACCAAGACAATATTTGAAAACTGCGTACTGGTACAGCGTTCATGTTCAGGTTGCTCGTCATTCAGAGCGGCTATACAGCGAGCACCAATATCATCGAAGATCTGGTCCATGAGGGGATCGCTCGTGCTATACAACCCCTCCATATCGTCTTCAGTTTGGGATAAAAAGCTTTCAGCTTTTAATTTGTGAGGAACTTCGGTTTTGCAGGCGGGAGGACCAACAAGCCATTTGCCCAAGTCAGAGTCAGGAGGATTAGTTATGCTATGTACATCAGAAAAGGGAATACCATCATCATTAACAGGCATAAAGACAGTCATTCTTTCTTGTACAAGATCAATAAGAAATTGAACTTCGGGTAATAAGGCAACAAAATTATTGTGCATTACTCTTGCTTGTCTCTGCAAATATGACAGATTTTTTATGTGATATCTCTAAGAGACATACGGATACGTGTATACACCCTACTTATCACAGGAGGCTTTCTCAACCATCTATCGCAATCAGGTAACTGAGAAAGCAACGAGTCACATATTTTTGTGAAAAGTTTGAAGTTCATTGATAAATCCACATAATACAGATTTCTGGATTTGACAGGAGACTTCTATAGTAGATAAGCATAAATTAGAGGCCTTTCCAATCTGCCGCTGAATTTGTCTTAACTGATTACAACAAGTCTTAATGAGAGCATACTAAGCCACCAAGCACTAAATAAACACCAAGGAGCAAAGCCCAAAGCAGGTCACAGGTAAATAGGCAGCAAGGTCAGAATTACTGGGATTGAAGATAGGCAGGAACACTGCAAGGGAACACTGGAACAGAAGGCACAGGACCAGGTAGAGGCGAGAACGCTGGGCCAAAAGGACGTCGGAACAGGAACACAGGATCAGGATACACAAGATACAATACAAGACACAGGAGCAAGGAGTCAGAAACATGGGAACCAGGAAACCGCAGGTACAGGATCAAGGATGAAGGATAATGATCTGACAGGGAGTGAGGGGAGAAACCAGAATATATAGGTGCTTAACGAAAAGAAATGAGAAACAGTGCCAAACAGAAACAGTGGTGAGTGTGAGTACTGCACGAGGGCATATTAACTAAGGAGTGTCGTGACAGGTAGGCTGCCAAGGTGGAGTTTAGCGCTACAACCTTATAACTTTACCATCAGCTACCGACCCGGTAAGCAGAACGGGAATGCAGATGGATTGTCCCGGCAAACTGACATCCCTACAACCTCAAAGTCCGGTCATCCCCAAGTTGACCCGCCAAAGGGTCAAGCCGGGTCTGCCGGAGTGTCCCACAAGGAGGGAGCCGTGTGACAGACCCATCTGTATAGCTATTATTGCTGGTTCGTCTAGTTTGCCTTCCTTTCGTGGAATTGCCTGTCCGTATACCCCTATTCGTATGTTTGACTTTTTACCGAATGAACTTACCGAACGGACGGACACCCAGAAGAGAAGTGTGCTGCTGGTTAACCTCTTGATCCCAATTAGAACGTTGTGTTTAACCACAGACACTTCTTAATTATAACTGAATGCAGGGTGGTCATCGTTCGTATGTCGACCACGAGGCGGCGGCCATTTTAAACCATGCGAAAGACCAGCGGTGTTCGGCGCAGATTCTATGGAACTAAAAACGGACACTTTTTCTGCCGAATACCACTGAAACCACAGACCGCCCTTCTCAGTCGACAAGGCATGCGAACACCGGCCGTTCTGAAGTTACGAGGGCGCAAAGATTTGACCGACCACATGGGAAAAGTAGCCGAAAATAGTTCCATGAATCTTGGCCCTGTGGTCGGTCTCCGTTCGCGCATCAAAAGTCTCGAAAGGCTATGCCATCTGTGACAGACCCATCTGTATAACTATTATTGCTGGTTCGTCTAGTTTGCCTTCCTTTCGTGGAATTGCCTGTCCGTATACCCCTATTCGTATGTTTGACTTTTTACCGAATGAACTTACCGAATGGACGGACACCCAGAAGAGAAGTGTGCTGCTGGTTAACCTCTTGATCCCAATTAGAACGTTGTGGTTAACCACAGACACCTCTTAATTATGACCGAATGCAGGGTGGTTGTCGTTCGTATGTCGACCACGAGGCGGCGGCCATTTTAAACCATGCGAAAGATCAGCGGTGTTCGGCACAGATTCTATGGAACTAAAATCGGACACTTTTTCTGCTGAACACCGCTGAAACCACAGTTCGCCCTTCTCAGTCAACAAGGCACGCAAACACCGCCCGTTTGGGAGTTTGGATTACACGAATGGACTTAACCCAGATAGCCATCCCATGGAGTCAATCGCATACCGAAAGACTGTAAAAGACTTTGACTCCATGCTGATTGAACTGTGCGTATGGGATCTGAGCGCTATTCGCTAAGAATATGCACTCAGATCCAGGCTATCTGGGGATACGTTGCACGAATGTAATATGTTTGGTAGTTGTGTAATTATTTATTTTCATGTGTTTTTTGTGTCTAACTTAAAATGGCGATTTGCCTCTGTCCTGGGAGATAATTGAATTACTTCTCAATTATCTCCAAGGCAGAGGGGAGGAAACCGGGATGCATTATGGGAATATTTTGTGCCTTTTTGTCTTAAAGTGCCATATGTCTGTCTGTCAATACAGTCTCCCATTTGGTCCCCTAGGGGAGTGTCCACCAAGTGGGAGACCTGCATAAATACAGGCGGGTAGCCCACAGTAAAGCCAGTTCTTGTTTTACCCTCAATGCGGAGCTTGGTCTCGTTATTGGGGGAATTTACTACACACGGTTAGCAACTGATTGCTGGAACCGTAAGCCGCTTGGAGGATATATTCATTCGGCTATTAGCCGTGATAAGTGGATTTATTGTTCGGGAGCTTGGAGCATCCGTACGGTTCCCGTTCGGGAGATTGGCGCACTCCCCTGGTTGCAGTTCATACGGTGGAAGTATATACGAATGGAGCTTGCATTATTGCGAAAGGGGAAGCTTAAAGGACCACTCTAGGCACCCAGACCACTTCAGCTTAATGAAGTGGTCTGGGTGCCTGGTCCTTCTAGGGTTAACCCATTTTTTAATAAACATAGCAGTTTCAGAGAAACTGCTATGTTTATTAATGGGTTAAGCCTTCCCCCTAATCTCTAGTGGCTGTCTCATTGACAGCCACTAGAGGCGCTTGCGTGCTTCTCACTGTGATTTTCACAGTGAGAGCACGCCAGCGTCCATAGGAAAGCATTGTAAATGCTTTCCTATGAGGACCGCTGAATGCGCGCGCAGCTCTTGCCGCGCGTGCGCCCAGTCGGGCGGGCGTAACGGAGGAGGAGAGGAGGCAGAGAGCTCTCCGCCCAGCGCTGGAAAAAGGTAAGTTTAAACCCCTTTCCCCCTTCCAGAGCCGGGCGGGAGGGGGACCCTGAGGGTGGGGGCACCCTCAGGGCACTATAATGCCAGGAAAACGAGTATGTTTTCCTGGCACTATAGTGGTCCTTTAACTAAGCGGCGGTTTCACTCCTTTGTGCCAGGGGTGTCTTAACACCATCTATAGCGGAGTCTGTGTAGCGTATAGTATTAAGGCTGTCTTAAAAGACTGTGCTAAAAGACTAAAAGTGCAATTCGTGTGTTTATTCTTCTGTATAGTTAAAACTGTATGTAGTATTCGTATGATTGTTCGGTAGTTTCCATCCGTAATCCAGACGAATGAAAACTACTGAACCAATAGACCACCCAAGAGAGAAGTGTGCACCTCATTAGGCTTCACACTTCTCTAACAGCAGGTTAATTGGTACTTTGTGCATGTATCTGGGTGGCCGCCGTTCGGCATACGAACACGTGGCGGCGGCCATCTTAGGCACGAAAACCTCAGCGGTGTTTGGTCGTCGAGTGTCTGGAACTCAAATCGGACACTCAATTACCCGAACACCGCTGAGACCTCCGTAACTCCCGAACGGGAAGGCTAATCAGCCCCCCGTTCGGTAAGTTAAAAGTACAGAACAAGGGGATTCATGCGAATGCAATGTTAATCGTGGATATCAGGTTTTTATGTGTGTTTTTCCTCCCGAACGGAGACCGACCGCAGGGCCAAAACACATGGAACCCTTTTCGGCTACCACCTTGTGTGTGCGGTCGGTCAAATTGTCCCTTCCACATAACTCCCGAACTCCTGGTCTGATCTGGGTGAATTTTGGATATGTTGGTCACCCACATCAGGGCTACCAGTGGGCAGGGCCGGCGGTACCTGTAAGGCGGACTAGGCAGCCGCCTAGGG